GTAGAGAAAGTAGGTCAGAGGTTATCCACAGGGAAGAGTAGATGATCTCCGAAAAGTCGAACGAAGCATTTACGGTGACCGGAGCAGACATGTTCGGTTCACTTAGGCTAGTTTTGTGGCCACAACATATTAACTCGTGGAAACGTGATAATACGTCGTGGCCACGAGAGATTTACTTTTTGGGAATGTCATATTAACTTGTGGGAGCGTGATATGTCGTGGCTACAAGATCATTTTGTCGAGATAATCGTATGGAGATGATGACATCCAGGAATCGCTGTGTGGCTGCTGCTTTCTCTCATAGTGGAAGTGTTTTGTGCAGTCTCGGGGCAGACATTGCCATAGTTACAAACAACAAGGTCACATTTGATTTGACTAAAAATAAACAAAAAAATTACAAAAATTCAGTGGGTGTGTTATTTGCTATTTATCCTTTCATGGGACTATGCCTAGCTTAGTTTTCATATCAGACACAGTTAACAATGACATTTTACACGTAGCCTAACTGTATTTTTACCTGGCAAACCAACTCAAGGGACTATTTGGCCAACCAGCTTATTCCTGCTTGAAAAGCAAAATGTTATTGATAGTGTAAAAAAACATCAACTTTGAAGCACATGCATTACTCAACATTACTTACTACCTTCCAGCAACACTACATTCAATTAAGGTAAAATAGTAAAAAAAATATTAATAGTTCATTTAAATGGAACCGGAATTGTTAGGCAAAACTGGAACCGGATTCGGAACCAGAAATTTTCTAACGATACCCAACCCTAGACATGAGCTCAGTGAAATGTTCCATTGGTTGTTAATAATCTGCCCGGTAATAGGTTAAAGGCGATAAAAAGATAAAACATGTTTTTATCTCTGGCGGCGCCTGCCGCGAAGTGGACGTTTGGGTGCACGAGCACCGCCTCTGCACCGACAGCGAAACCGCCTACTTTCCTGCTATTCACAATTTGAATAGAAGTTTTAATAAATGAGTTTTGTCTACCTCATGTAGGAGAATACGTGTGTGGTTCGGTCGGGTACGGAATTATAGTGTTGCTGTCGGATAACTGGTCGAGTGTTCTGTCAATTACTGCGGGTGCGGGTTTATCAAACAGGACCCTTGCAGGACTCTTTCTATGTTGAGGGAACAACATATTTTTTCCCATGGCCACGAGTTTAATGCGTAAACAACCTGCGTGATCATAACCTGGGATTATCAGAGATGGATAGGCTAAATAATTTTTGTCCATCCCACAGTCTTGTAAATCTGTGAACTGATCGTCTTTTTCCATTATTATTGTTGTTGTTATTATTATTGGTTATATTTTTATATTTGTTGTTTGTATTCGAGTTATTTTCCCTTCATTCGATCTCTTTACATAACGTTCTGAATAGTTTTGCTGACATGCCAATAAAGCTTTGATTATGCTATGACTTACAGGATTTTTTTTACTGGAAGTGCAGATTAAAGGTTGAATTTAACATAGCCTATATTTCATTTTATTTAGTCTAATTAATAGACTATTATAAATAGGCTAGGCCATAGTATATGAATCTGCGTAGTTTCATTTGTAAATGAAAACACTAATTTATCTTCACATACCGGTGTAAATACAAGTCAAAACTTTATTGGCATAATTGTCAGGATTAACAGTATTTGCAAAATATGGTCGCACTAATACTAGCATCATTATACAGAAAGTTAATTAGGTAAAGCACTACACGAATTGAAAGGGAAATAAGCATATATAACAATAAATATAAAAATATAGCCCTAATAAGTTAATATAATAATTATAATACATTATTATAATAACAATATACAAATATAAAATAAAAAGATACGATCAGTTAATGGATTTACAAGACGATGTTTACGCATTAAACTCGTGGCCATGGGAAAAAAATGCTGCTCCCTCAACATAGGAAGTCGTGGCAGAGTCCTGGACGGGTCCTGTCTGATAAACCCGCACCCGCAGTCTGTTACCAAGCAAATGAAATCAACACAGAAGCTGGATCTGAAGTGGCAAAATTGGGGAAAAAAGTCGAAATGTTAAATTAAAACCGCCAACAGGTGGCAGCAAATCACTGTTAATAAGTGAGTCTTTGCGATTGAACAGAATAATTTAACGGTTGATTAATTCAGGAACCAAACACCATCATGTTGCTCAGAGACGCAAAACAGTGCTGTGGCTGTGTTTGGAATGTTTTTTGTTGGCGAAATAGTGCCGAAATAGAGCAAAAACAGTCAATATGGTGTCTAAAACGTAAGTCTCTTAATAAACCTCTTGTTTATTGAGCTGTTGTAAAAAATCTATATCAAATTTGTAATCATGGTAATTTTTTGGAGAAAAATGGCACTCTTCGTGTGAAATTGATTAACTATATGAAGTCAGTGTTTCCCCTGCCATTATATTAGGGGCACCCCCCGCCCCCCTTGAAGGTCAAGTTAATTTTATTTAATTATATTTTCTCTATGACAAAATGATCTTGTAGCCACGACATATCACGCTCCCACGAGTTAATATGACATTCGCAAAAAATAATTATCTCGTGGCCACGACGTATTATCACGTTTCCACAAGTTAATATGACGTTCGCAAAAAATAAATATCTCGCGGCCACGACATATTATCACGTTTCCACGAGTTAATATGTTGTGGCCACAAAACTAGCAAAAGTGAACCGAACATGTCCTCTCCGGTCAACGTAAATGCTTCGTTCGACTTTTCGGAGATCATCTACTCTTCCCTGTGGATGACCCCTTTAAAAGAAAATCCTGTCAAAAAATGCTAACATACCATGGTACATTTTGTTTGCATTATTTTTTCTTGTTTGATAAGATACAAATATCTTAAGCATACGGTTTCTTTAAAAGCAAATTCAAAATACAAACAAAAACAAGATATAAGTTACAAGAAAGAACGTAATATATTTAAAAATCAATTCATTTCAACAATTACAAGACCATTCAAATGCAAACTGCATTTATTTTACCCGCTAAAACACAATTGTCATTATTTTAATTACTAAAAGAGACATAACGTTATCTAACGTTCACACAAGTTATATCTTATAAAGACTAGTTTAGGGCTGTGTCAAGGCTCAGTGTTTCAAAATGGTGCGCAAGTAGCATTTAGCCTGCTAGCCTTACAGTTACCATAACAGTACAAGACTTCATTGACAACGCAGCTGCATATACTGAACCTCACGAAAGAAATACATATCAATTTTGCGTACTATAACGAGAACATACGTCTAAAAATGAACATAAACGACATTTATTTTTCTGCGTTTGCGATCTGTGGGCACAAAATGGCTTTTTTTCTAGCTTCACTCTTATTGCGAGCACAATGACAACGCGGGGTTTGGTTAGTCTATTTACTGTAACGTTAGTCATTTATGAACAGTTTGCGTCTGTGTGCGAGACTTTGCTTTAGTTAGATAACTTAGTAGGGACATGATTATCTGATGACTGTTGCGTATGATCAGCAGGAAACTCCATTTTGAGAATTGCTTACCTTAGCAAGCTAGCTGGCTAATTTACAGCGCATCGACGCATTTAATTGTCTAATTAACGCTCGACACTTATGTTATTTATTACTCCCAGAAATAACAGTGCAGTTTTAAAATGCGGTGCCTTTGTAGTAATACGATTCAAAATATTTAACAAACCTGCAGGCAGCCCTTCCGTCACACCAATATTCGCCCGAAAATTCTGCGCCTTCTACCTTGATTTCATTGTAGGTTTACGTGCATTTCTTAGCTCCGTGATTGGCTAAACAGGAAATCAAACGCGCGGCTGTATTGGTTAAAATGACTGTCAATATAAAATCTAAGAATCTAATTGGGTGAGGGGGCTGTCAGCTAAGTAATTGTGTCCCGCCCCTTAGCATTCGCTTATATTATAGGTTATCGTCATAGCAACTGAGAAGCGCTCTGTTATCTAGCGTTTGAAAGCTTGGCTTCATATACCATAAATACAAAGAGATTTTATTTTATCACCGTTTGTAGTGACAGATTTACAGTCGATAATGGTGCAGCCTCTGATGTCTTTCGCATCGGACTGGTTTAGTTCGCACTGTGTTAAAAAACCCAGTCAAACTGACATTAACGGATAGGAATTCAGGACTAATCCTATCTAATACAGTTGCCTGTTTTGAGATCAAACGGCTTGTTTATTAATGGGAATATAATCTTTTGTGTAAGAGGACAATCAAATAATAGTCAATTCCGTGATTGCTGCTCACGTTGACCGTGATAAAATGTGTTGCCTTTGCCGCCCTCTCCTGGTAAAAATATAACAGTTCGTCACATTTCACATCTTTTGGCTTGTGCTGTAGTGATTTCCTAAACCAAGGCCCTTCAGTGTACTCATGCTGAAATAAAATCAAAATGTTTTATATAACGCGTGGAATCTAGTGCAGATGGGCTCTAACTTCTCTCAAATGTGAGATTCAAAGGCGCATTTTCCGAATCCATCACCGTTCCCTTCAAACAGATTCGGTAAACATCCTAAAGTAATATTTAGATTATTACCAATATCAGTTGGTCTCCCTTCACATAGACTACACTGCGATTGGAATGCGAGACTGACATAACCAGTAAAAAAACATCCAGGCATTTTTGTTTAGTAATTATTTTTCTAGATGCAGCCCATCTTGTGCGTCAAACAGCACGTCACACTCCGGGAATGGCTATTCATGAAGTTGTATTGTTGAAAAGAGCACGATGGAAAAGCAACACAGATTGAATTGAAAAGAAAAAGAAAAACATCAAGTAATTTCCCAAATGACACGATAGAAAAACAATCTTTGACAGCCTATACCGAGCATCCCCATCCCTGTCAACATAGGACATCTCCCAAAGATCGCCCCATTGACAGCACAGGTGATCGATCAATTATTGCCGATATGGCATCGCTGAGAGCATCTTTAACGTCCCCCTCCACATGTAATTACAGCGATGGCTGAGGGAGATGCGGTCGGTAATCGATAGGCGCTTGCAGGTACGCGCTGCTGCCTCTTCACACGCGCGCACACGCACACGCACACCGTCTCGCTTGTTTTCTTACCCAGCGCTGAATGTGAGACGTCAGCGTCACCACCGCAGCCCGTAGACACACACAGCCTGCGGCCACACGTTTTACCACCGCGTCTGGAAGAGGCGAAGCCCGGATAGCGCAACATATTGGCACGCGAACATTTCCCCGCTGCGTAATGTTGTCTTGCGCCACTCCATGACAGTCTCGCGTCGCGCACAACGTCTTTGCGCATCCCACAGCAGCGGCGTTCTTCTCATCTCGGAATTGCTGAAAATACTATAAGACATTACACGACGCTTAATGCACCGCGCTAGACCTGCTATGACCGCAGGGGTTCAAGGAATGGCTCGCTGGGGGTTGTGTGGGGTTTTATTCGGGCTGCTGAGGCTCAGCTCGGCTTGTCCTGTGTCGTGCTTTTGCAATGCCTCGAGGATCTCGTGTATCGACCAAGAACCAGGCATCGAGGATTTCCCTGTCTTGGTGCCGGAGTCTGACATGGAAAACATTACGGACATGTAAGTGGAGTGTTCACGGATGCGTGAAAAAAACAAACATGCGCGTGTGTTTGTGAGCGTGTGTGCGCGCGTGAGGAGTGTGTGGGTAGATTCCTCAATTCGTCGAGGGCCAAAATAAGTTTAGTGCACCGCTATTCCATGACATCCACGAGCTGTCGGTTTCAGCCACCGTTATGAGCATCCGTGGAGTTCGCTACGATAATTCGGGGCGTGCGATTGCATGTGAGCTCTAAACATCAAACAAGACCATAGCATGACAATGCAACAGACATTATGTGTCGTGTGTGTGTGAGAGAGAGAGAGGATGAGAGCGGTTGTAAGGGGTGGGGGCCACGGTAAATAAGCAGTAAGTTGGCATGATAGCACATCTAGGGTCTTTTTTATGAAAATGGTCACTCAGAAGAATTTTGTGCGGCTGCTGACTCACCTCAGCTGACTTTCTGTAGGCTACCAGAACAGGAAAAAAATAGACAACACTATCGGCTTACACTAAAATTTATAAATTGACCACATAACGCAATTAGATGCATATCGGTGAAGATACAGCGTCCGCTTCATAGTGATGTATCAGTGATGATCTGATCCGCTTGAGTGCCTGCATTAGGCAGCACTGACAGACGAGCCGACTTGAGAGACCGTCAAATGGCTTGGTCTTGGGGGAAAAAAAGTGCTTTTGGGCCTATCGGGAGGGATACGCTAATAAACTGCTGTTATTTACTAATGCAATTAAGTTTTACGCGCACATTATTTCATGAATTGTTGTGTATAGGTGAGTTGGGGAGTAGTCTAACGTGTCCGCAGAGCAATAGGCATCGGCGCCTACGCAAATATGTCACTCCGTTTCCACGACAACGGCTCACCGGACCCACTCCAGGCATGTGCGCGCTGTAGTGAAATCATGGCTTTTTCACGCGCACCTTTATTAACGAGTTCACATGGTGACGGTTCGATAAAGGAATTTCGAATTACGGTGCGTCTGTTTTAGCCTTCGCTGAAAATACGGTCTATTTGATATTGAGTGATATTCAATTTTTGGTCCTATCATTGTTTTCGCGTGCCGGATTTGGCTTGATTTTATTTGTTAGGCGCGTGCCTAGTTAAATTGTAAGTTCACATATAATATTACTGAAACTCTAAATAGAAAGTGCTATGAAAGCATCGTTTGAAGTACTTTGGACTAGCCTACTATGTAAATGCTGTGGTACGTGAATGTAAATGCCATGCTGTACTTTTCTGTAAGGGCAAGTTTTGTTTTGGACAAGGTACCATTGTAGGTACAATACCGTTTAAAATTTTGGATCACAATTTTTGGGACCCAATCAATTCCTTTTATTCAGCAAGGATGCATGAAATTGATCAAAAGTGAGAATAAAAACGTTCACATTGTGACTTTCTGTTCTTTGAACTTTCTATCCAGAAAATATGTATCAGGGTTATATTAAGCAGCACAACTGTGTTCAACATTTACTATAGTAATAACAAATATATCTTGAGCACCAGTTTAGCAAATTGGAATGATTTCTGAAGGATCGTGTTCAGCTTTGCCTTCCCAGAAATAAATAAAATGTTCAATTATATCATGTTATTTTAAATTGTAATAATATTTCACAACATTGCTGTTTTTACTGTATAGATTTGATAGAGTAAACGCAGCATTGCTGAGCATGAGACTTCTTGCAAGACATCAAAAAATCTCACCGACCCCAAACTTTGATGGTAGTTTATCACAGTACTATGGTGCTACCGTGTTTATGTGCCTACTCTGCCTAATCATTCCTTTCCATTCCACAGATACATCTCAAATCAAAAAAGGCTACTTACAATCAATGAGGACCATATGAAGTTCTACTCAAATCTCAGGAATTTGTGAGTATCTGATGTTGTAGGGTCATGCAAAATACTAATGAAACTTTATGAAACAGCAGAACTTATATGAGCATATACTGTCTCACACAGAACAGTGACCAATACTCACCTGACATATATATCTACGATGGCCTTCTTCAACAATTCCAAACTTCAATATCTGTGAGTCTTTTTCAATATATTATTTAATTAAATTTATGGCAAATTAAGCAAATAAACTTCAAACTAATGTTCTATACTGTTAATCTTTAATTAATTGAGTCTTGTTCTGTTCCCTATCTATAGGAATCTCAGAGACAATAACTTATCAACACTCTCTTGGAGAGCACTTCGTAATTCCAACTTGTCGACTTTGTAAGATCTTGTTTCAATAAAAATATGTACAAAACTGTACAGTGCTCTGTTTGTACAGCATACAAAGAAAGCATCTTTTTGTTCCTGAAGTCTGTTTGGGTTTGCTTTAGGTTGCTCTCCGGGAACCCTTTACAATGTGAATGTAAGAACATCTGGATCAAAGTCTGGTTGGATGACAGTGAGAGAGAGGGCCTGCAGTGTCTACAGGAAGGAGGAAGTGCAAAAGCCCTCTCTAGACTCACTCTTAATTCATGTGGTAATGAAACTTAAACTATATGATGTTTAAACGCAGATCTAAGTTACACAGTTTGCGGTAAGGAATATTAAAAGAATTGTTCCCACAAACATGAAAATTCTGCCATTATTTCAGAGTATCCACGTGTCGAGGTTATCCCTGCTGTTGTCAATCAAATGGCAGGAAGTGATGCTACAGTGATGTGTAGTGTGTCTGGAGCCCCGACCCCTGAGCTCTCCTGGAGCTTAAACTCCAGCGATCCTCCTCTCTCAACCAGCCATGAGGTAACACCCTGTTTGCCTTTTAAGTAGAAAGCTAGTTCAGAACAGCATACTAGCACAGTGCTCTTACTGTTTCTGCAGTATGTATATTGCGTGAATGCAAATTGTCTGTAGCTTAAGAACACGTGGTTGACCTGCTACATTTGCTTAAAGGGGTCATATGATGTAGCTAAAAAGAACACTATTTTGTGTATTTGGTGTAATGAAATGTGTTTATGCGGTTTAAAGTTAAAAAAACACATTATTTCCCACATACTGTACATTATTGTTTCTCCTCTATGCTCCGCCTTTCTGAAACGTGTCGATTTTTACAAAGCTCATCGTTCTGAAAAGCTAGGTGTGCTCTGATTGGCCAGCTATCCAGTGTGTTGTGATTAGCTGAATACCTCAAGCGTGTGACGGAAATGTTACGCCGCTTACCATACTGTGATGCCGTGTCCCGGCGCGACGAGAGAAAAACATTAAAACCCATTATAAACGAGGCATTTGTTGCATCCAGTGGGGACATAATTACGGATTATAATGACTTATACTGTCTTTTTACGCGTTGCGTTGCATCGCGCCACGTAAACATAAAACCATGTCTTGCATTTGTGATCGGAGAAATGACAAACAACATGCGCTACTCTATACTGCTCAAAACTCGCGTTTGAATCGTCAGTGGCAAATTCTTTAAATATGAAAACGTACTTACAGGCTGTGAGTCAGAACAGCCGGCATTTTAGTCTACTTTACCAGGATCAGGAAACAGTCCTCCATAAAATGTGCTGCACACATCTGAATATTTGGGTTGAACTGTTCCGGAACAGTGTTGTAAATACAACTTAACCACTGATTTCTAGTCATGTCCTCTTTTGGAAAAGTCTTAACTTTTATAAAGAATATCTCTTTGGGTTTGAGACTTTAGTCTTTGCAACTTTAGGGATCTTATCTATTCACAAACAGCTTGTAACACTCCAAAGAGAAAGGACAACTTGAAATTGCATCATATGACCCCTTTAAAAGTGTAGTGTTTAAATAAAACACACTGTGCGGAATACTTTATCCCATAACAATACAATGCAGTCTACTGATTCCATAAAATTTTCGAAAAACACAAACGATATTTTTTATGAAATCTAAGAGATTTCTGTCTTTACATTGAAAGTTCATTCCAGCAAAACTATGATGTTTCAAAAAGTTTATAAAGAGATAAAATAAAGATTAAAAGTAATCCATATGAATCAAGTAGTTTAGTCCAAGTTTTCCGAAGAGACACAGTCACTTTATATGATGAACAGATTTAATGTAGGCTTTTATTCATATATAAACATTGATTAACGCACATACGTAGAGCACATCAAATATGGTAAACAGAAGCTCATGCGCGAAAACAAACCTCATTGGTACTTGCACGCCTTGTTTGATGTTCTCTATGTATGTGTTTATGTGTGAGTAAATGGCTAAATTAAATCAGTTTATCATATAAACCAATCATGTATCTTCAGAAAATGTTATTATTAACCAATCAGAATAACAATGTTGGATTAAACTGCTTAATTCGTTATGATGTTTTTATAAACTTTTTGAACCATGAAAGGTTTGGTGGAATGAGGGACAGAAATCTCTCAGTATTCATTAAAAATCTCTTCATTATTTTGCTTTTCAAAGATGAAAGAAAATATTATGGGTTTAGAATGACGAGAGTGAGTGTTCATTTTTCACAGAATGTTCATTTTTGGGTGAACAAACACTTTAATTTATCTATTTTGACTATTTTGATCAATTTTGAAAAAGTAGACTTTTTTTTTTATTTGAATAAAAATATTAAATGAGTAATTCAGTTTTGTGTAAAAAAATACTTAACTTTCTTATTTCAGAGATAATAACTAGATGCACTTATGTAATGTGATAATGCTTGTATTCTATTCTGAACACAGCCAAAGTCTCTTGAGCTTCTGCATCAAATCTGCCATTACTTGTAGATGCATAGCATAATGAGATCTTCCACGAAATCATAAGTAACCTTAAGGTGGAATACAAGATGGAATACAGGGTTTAGTAGAATATAATAGCCCTATTTATGATAGCCTTATTTACTCTAGTAGACCTATACATATCTGCCATCCTCGCATCAGTTTTAACCTCTCTACTCCTTACACCAGTTTTACACGTTAAGGACACTTAAACACTTTTTTAACTCTCTGTAGCATCCTATAATGTGCTTTCAAATATCATGATTGATCACAGCGCTGAAACCACAGATGCTTGACTCTAGCCAGTTAAAAGCATTGTTTCCATTAATATTTAAAATGCTCACTATACTACTTACATTAAAGGAGCCTTCACCGACGGTGAAAACAACAGCCTGTATGACAGATTAAGTACACTGAGGTGTAGAATAAGAACATGGATTATTTAGCTCCAGTTAATGGCGCTTTGTTCACCTGGGATGTTTGGTGTTACTGCATAGTAAAAGAAGACTAAGGCGTGCATCACTAACTTCATTAAACCTAACCCTGAGTATGGCAACCCGCACAGTTTGTGCTAACGATTTTGCAAGCAATATTTTTTTCTTGGCAGCCAGTAAAATGAGAAGATGAATCCCATAGATTTACTTTGAAGAAGGGACTCAAGTCATGTCTGGAAAAAAAAGTGAAATGACGTAATTTATTTAAAGTGCATTTTTATTAACTGAAAATCACGTTTTTTAAACCTGTTGAATTCAGTTTGCATAAGAGCAAATAACACTCCCCGTAGAAACAATTAAAAGAAACAATTCTGTTTAAATACAATTCTGGATAGCATTAAATAGTATGTCAATGTGCAGAACGCACATTGGGTTTTATTAATTTTTCTGGTGTTTATTTTTCTACTTTCATATTAGCTAATTTAGGTTTTGTTTATGGTGAAATTAAGTTGTAAAAAGCCCAAAAAACATTATGTTGACCTAACACTGACATTTTGGCTTATGTCTAAAGAAATGACCACGTAGAAATGACCTAAAGTACCCTAACACATACATACAGTAGCAATGCCCCGGCAGCCACTCAGAACACCCTAGCATCATGATACCGAGTTTTGCATGGCAAATACTTTTAAACATAATCAGATCAGATCAGAGCTGTGGTTTCTTTCTCACAGATTTCTCACAAAATGGAGCTGCAGTCTATTCTGACTCTAAGTGGACTTTCACCTGATGACAACGGCAGAGAACTCACCTGTAGTGCCGAGAACATTGTGGGCCAGACTGAGGCTTCAGTCCTTCTCAATATTCTTTGTAAGAACTCAGAATGTGTCGTGTGGATTTACTTTGCATTGCTTTGACAGAATGAACCCCAAGTTAAGGTTTGTTCCAATCAAAGCTTAAATGGTGGATCATGATCAGTGGTGGACAAAGTACACAAATCCTGTACTTGATTTAAGGATACCCTGATGAAATATTACTCTATACTTACATACTTATAAATGTATATGTACTCCTTTTGAATTTCTACTTGAGTACAATTACTGAGCTATAAGGACTACCTATTATTATTATTAATATTTTATTTTTTGCAATTGAATGTGCTTCATCCTCTATTAAGAGAGAGGGATCTAATGTGCCAGTCACTCAGATATAATAGACCTAAAATAGGTTAGAGCTCAGTCTGACATTATTATGAATTATTAGTAGTCACACTGGAGGATCATACTACTCTCAGTTCTTGACTTATTTTAGTCTCATAAGATCAGTACAGTGCTTTGTTAGCTTTTTAGACTTGCTTGGACAAGATCATTAAATCAGAGTTATTAACCTATGCAGTTGGATCAGTCAATTACAGAAATTAATCATTCATTGTGAATTGTGATTCAGTTCAACTGATTGAAAAAATAAAATAATCAATTATTCATTATTCGCGAATTGGACATCACTATTGGATCTCTGAGCAGGTCTTAATTTCTTCACTTAAAAATAACTAGGAATGGCATGTTTTTTTCTGAAATATAGTGAAGTAAAAAGTCAAGACATTATGCTATAATACAGTAAAGTAAAAAAAATAAAATAATAATAATAATAGATACTACAAAAATATACTTAAAAGAGTCAAATTCTTTGTTACCGTCCACCACTAATCACACAACTCACCCAAAAATAAAATGTATAATCCGTATAATCATGAATCAGTAGGACATCAAAGGCTGTGTGTCCAATGAAGCTTATTGTATTTTAGTGCAAACCCATCTGTCGCTTGATAGAAGCAATCCAAATTTGGCAGATTCCAACATGGACAGGTTGTGTGACATCCTCATCTTTGAATACAATGAATGAAGACTATTCAAGGTGAAACAGCTAAAAACCACACATATAGAGGATGCTTTTTATTTCACGTATCACAGTTTATCAACTAATAAAAGCCCAACGATTTTCTCTCCAACAAAAGTGAGAGGTTTCCAGAGTGTGTAGTCCCTTAGGACCGTGATGCATTTTCAGATAAACACGTAAAAGTCAGCCAGTTTCTTCATTATTTCTATAAAAAAAGTAACAATGTAGCATAATTAGATACTTTTTGGGAGTTATGCAATAGTGTAACAGGTTACTTGGTAATCTGTCCCAACACAGCTGATGACCATGTATCTGAAGTTTAGAACATGTCGTTATGTTCCCATGTATAATATAATCCTAGGTTACTGAATTGAACAAATCTGGTTCGTATTTACCAACATTATCATGAAAATATAGAACTCTGCTATCATGCATGAACAATTACAAATAAAATCTATTATTGTTGAATGTAGGCTTTCATCAGACATTATTATGACTTTCCACATTTTAGAATAATAGTAAAGTCATCAAAACTAAGAACTAATACAGATGGAAGCTTGGGAATTATGTAGTGACATTTTTTTTATCAAAACTAACTTGTATTTGAGCTTAAAAGTCACCACCCCACTGTATACAGCTCTGCACACTCTGGGCTTCCCTCAACCAAATCATGAGGCGCATCCTAATTTTAAACCTTATTGAAGGCATTCACATGTATGCTGGACATTTGTTGCCTGTCTTTTCTTCACAATCTGTTCCAATACATCTATTTTTAAATATAACTATAAATATAGAAGAGAGATTAATATGTAGCAATAGATTATTTTGTATGCAAAACTAATTTGAAACAAGCCATTAGATAAAAAGTGCCTTTAAGAACAGAAGTTCAAGTCGAGTGCGTCCAAACTTCAATTGGTACTTTAAGTACAAATCACTGAACCAGTAATTTCCCCATGATGTGTTATTTCAGAGGTGGAATGTGTCTGTTCATCAAAGGTGCAATTGAAATCCTAGAAGTGGAACTAATGATTCAAACTGTTGAGCAGTCACACTCACAAACATTGTAATGATTAATATTACCATCTTTTTTCTGTGATTTTTGAGTTTGATGTCTTCCAAGTATATTTTGACATTCTGACAAAATAATAGGATTTCAAACCGAATGGGAGGCTCTGGGAATGCGTGGAGATTAGATGCTTTCCTGGTTGGTTGAACTATTAGACGGTTTTTAAGAGTTCAAGATACATTTGAAAATGTGCCAAATGCTTAAGATTCAGGAAGTTTCCCCTCAAGCTATCACATTAAACCGGGCCTGACAAAACTTACATTGTTGCAAAAACTTTTCCCTCTTAATAGTAAGCTTTGAGCCTTATTGAATATACCCGTTTTATTTTGTGTGGAGTTTTTTTTGTAGTTAAAGGGATAGTTAACATATTAAGGGAAACAAATAAAGCTTTCAGTCGAGGATTTAGTGAAGATCATTTATTCACCCTCATGTCATTCCAAACCCATATTTTTTGTCTTCCCTGGAACACAAAAACAAATGTTTAGCACAAGGTCCAAACTGCTCTTAAATACAATACCATTCAAAAGTTTGGAGTCAGTAAGACTTTAATTTTTTTATTCATTTATTTAAAGCAAATAATATCCAGCACCTTCATTCAGCAAGGAAACATTAAAGGGTTAGTTCACCCCAAAATGAAAATTCTGTCATTAATTACTCACCCTCATGTCGTTCAAACCCCGTAAGACCTCCGAAGTTCATCTTCGGAACACAAATTAAGATATTTTTGATGGAATCTGAGAGCTGTCTGACCCTGCATAGACAGCAACGCAACTGTAATGTTCCCTGACAGAAACGTAGTAAGGACATCGGTAAAACAGTTCATGTGACATCAGTAGCTCACAGAGTATCACAACGCATACGCATGCTTTTCCCTAAGTGTAAACAACGCTGATTACGCCGATTACATTCATGCGCGCGCTTTCCCCCTAACGTAAACAACGCAGACATAACTCGGAGGAGAAGAATTGTTAAATAAATTACCGTATTGGCCCGAATATAAGACGACCCTGATTATAAGACGACCCCCCTTTTTCCAGATGTACCTTTTGGAAAAAGGCTTTTTAAAAAACAAATCTTGTTTTTTCTCAGTAAAACACATTTTGTCTTCAATTATTTTCATATTGCATATTTTTCCT